TTTGACGCCAGCATATGTGGGGATGGCCTTGGTGAGGTGACCTGCCCTGTTACATCTCAACCTGGTTTTTGCATAGAGGCAGCGAATTGGAAGCAACAGCTGCCTATCAATGTTCATTGTCTCAAACATCTGCCAAAGCCTGTCTTGTGGGATCATATCAAATGAGGACTCGAAATCAATAAAGGCTGTATATAGTGTTCATTTAGTCTTAAATGAATATTTATCCGCCAGATGTTGTAAAACTATACCATGATCTCCTGTAAAGCGTCCTGATCTGAATCCTGCTTGCTCATCATCTAGAGGATTTTCCTCTTCCATCCAACATCTTTTCAAGAAGATGGTGGGCATACAGCTTACTGATGGCACTTAGCAAACTGATTGGCCTATAATTTGCAGGGTCAGCTCTTTTCCCTTTTTTATACATTGGAATGATGATAGCAAGTCCCCAGTCCTCTGGTATACATGCAAGCTGGTTGATGCATGTAAATAGTGTTGCTAATACTGGGGCCCACCAATTAATATTGGCTTTAAGAATCTCAGGAGGAATGTTATCACTCCCGGGTGCTTTGCCTACTTTAAGCTTAGCAATAAGTCTGGTAATTTCAGAGACTGAAACTGGGGGCCAGTCAGGGAGATCACGGGAAGCAGTTTGTGGAATCAAATGTCCGGATAATTTTACAATATATAGACCAGTAAAATATAGTTCCCATGTCATAACAGGTATGTGTGAATTTGCTGCACCTGCTTGACCATCTAACCCTCTTGAGACAATTTCCCAGAAAGTAACAGAGTCATGTGACCTTGATGCTACAATTAATTTCTGCCAACTCATCCTCAATGCCAAACGTTTTTTTTGTCCTTGATTAGCTTTCTATATTTTTTCTTTAACCAAAACCAATTAGGTGGTAGGGATGGCAGGTTTGATTCCCTGTATCTCTTATAAGTTTCTAATAGTAGATACTTCATTTCCAGACATTCCTGATCAAACCATGGTTTGGATCTATGGGTTCTACAAAAAGGGGCATCCTGTCTGATGGATTTTTTATGAATCAAACATTTTTGTAGTGCTGTACACTTTTTTTGTAGACTATTTCTTGATATAGATAAAGAGCCTTTTCAGGGGAACCTGTTTTCAAAAGGGACTCCCGCACTCTGAGACAGCTTTCCGAATGCAGGAATGCAGTTGTAACATACTCTGCCTTGGCTGACCATCTCACCCGAGATACTCCAATTTCTGCCTCTGTACTGAGTTGCGGTTCGTAATCTGCATTAACATTCTGGCTCTGACGAGATAGTATTGTAATCAGGGGGAGATGGTCACTCTCTGTGTGCGTACCAACTTCGAAACTGAGTACCAGATTTAACAGGTCATAGGAAATGATAATCAATAACTCAAGCACCACACCCTCCCAGGAAGGTATATGCCCTAGATCTATCCCCTTCCACTCCTCCATTTCATAGCACTAAATCCAAACTATTCATCGTCTGTAAAAGACATAGACCAGAATAGTTACAAAGCTGATCTTTGGATTGTCCAACAGGGATCGGATGTCCCATCTCCATTTCAGGAGCCTGTTCACCAAAATGATAGTGTTACATTCAATTGGGCCTTGCTAGCAGTCTGGCTTCTAATATTGTCTGTTTTAACATTGTAAGGCACCTTGGGTCCTTTTGTGGAGAAAGGCAGGGTACAAATAATAAAAAGGAATACAGTGAAATGAGCCAAGGGCCTCTGGTCAGATTTTTGAAACTGTTTGCCTTGAGGTTTTATACCCATGTTTGCCTGATAAACAATGCTGGAGAACTCAAAGTTCATCTTCTTAGTAACCTTTAAGTGACTTAATAAAGGTGTTGCCCAGCCTTGGGTTTTATAGTAACTTCTATAATACCTCAGCAAATCTATGGTGACAGGTCTATTATGGGAATAATCCCAGTGCAGAATAATGGAAATAATAGACAGGTTGGGCTGATGTCACTGGTGGGGTAAGGGTGGGATTAGTTGACAATACCTGTTCAGTGTAACGAGACAAGTAGAGGTTCTTCACTGGCACGTCACTCCCATCTTCTGTGCAGTCGCTGTAGCTGCCCCCAAGGCGGTTTGTGGTTTCCTGCCAGTCAATTTACAACATGTCAGGTCAGCGTAGTTTCCTTCCATCCCTCTAATTTGCACTTGCCTCTCATACTA